TTTACAGCTCGCGCCCGAACTGCGGTCGCTCGCAACCAGAACGGTTATCGCCACCTCTAAAAAGTCCTCATGATCGTAAAACTATAAATCACGTTTTAGCTCGGCGTAGTACAAGTTTCACGATCCGCATTCCTGATCCCAGGCTTTTGTGAATTCGTGTGCCCGTTTCCATTCCGTCCGTTTCGCGGTGTTGTATTTTTATGTAACCGCGCGAAACATCCTCTCCCTTCCCCCCGCCCCTTCTTCCCTCCCTCCTAGTGTTCAACTGCCACGCACAGGTGAAAATTTCATTGTGTCAACCGTCCAGGGAGATATTTCGTGCTTTCGTGCTAATTTTCGATCTTTGTTACCACCGATGGCAAAACGGAAAACAAAAAAAGGAGGGGGGAAGGGGGGCTACGAAATTGCTCCCGATATTTGCATCTCCCCTCTGTCCTCGTCCTTTTTTACCCGTGTTTTTCGCCATCAATGTCAATTTTTCACACCTCGATAGTTCGATCAATTTTTGAGTTGTACGTCAAATCTGTTTTAATATTTTTTTTTTACTTTCAATCGAAACGAATTAAAGAGCAAAGAATGCTTTTGAGTAGGATTGAGTAGGAATATTTCAAAGAAATATTCGAACATGGCGTTTTAGGTTATGTATTATTGAAGGTAAGATAAAATTGTGCCTGTGGAAATGAAAAGTTGGAAAGTTATTATATCGTGAATCAGGAAATGAGGATAGGAATATATATATATATATATGTTTGTTTTGAGGGATTAATATTCTGTAAAGTAAAAACGTACGTTCATTCGAGCGAACTTTCTAACCAGTCTGTAGATCCGTTTTTACGTTTCAAGATCGTGACCATGGTGAAAATCGCTGGAAGCGGGATGAACGAACGAACGAACGGTTTCAGCCTTTCTAAGAATCGAATTTTTTAAAAAAAAAATTGATGTGACTTATTTCAATTTTATCAACTGATACACATTCATTTATACACATTTGAGATTAATTATTAATAAGTCTCCATTCCAAACTTTCCAAAAACATATCTTAAAGTCTCTATCTCTTCTTTCTTTCTATTTTTTATCATCTAGTTCACATAGGGCATCATATATACCTTAGAGCAGTCCTTCTTTCTCTCTGTTTCTTATCGTCTTGTTCATATTCATTTATACTTACACATTTGAAATTAATTATTAACTGTACAAATAAACAAATAATTCTAAACTTTTCATCTCAGAAACATCAAAATATACTTTAAAGCATTCCTTCTTTCTCTCTGTCTCATCATCTTGTTTACTTATACATTCACACATTTGAG